CAGAGATTACCAGGGGCCATCTTAGGGGTGTCCAACCACACTAGATCTGGTCCTCAGTGTTGCAGATCTGGAGATTCAATTTAGGCAATGATCAGAATTCATCAAATTCACACAAGTTAAATACACGTGACACATTATCTTGGTACTACTCTCCCTCTTTTCTAGAACTCTTTAGTTAAACCGGTCTTCCTTTTGAAGTCAACAAATGTGTTCCCAGAGCCTATGTACTGGCTATCATTCTTACCACAGAATGCTCTTTGAATGGCTAGATCTTTCTTGTGATTCAGGTCTTACCTCAAATATCTCCTCCTCAGAGGGCTTACCTGGTCACACCATATAAAATTAATCCCTCTTACCTTTTGCACTTTCTATCCCATATCCCATTTCTTTTCTTTCTTTTTTTTTTTTTAAAGATTTTTTGTTTATTTATTTTCTCCCCAAAGCACCAGTAGATAGTTGTATGTCATAGCTGCACATCTTTCTAGTTGCTGTATGTGGGACACGGCCTCAGCATGGCCAGAAAAGCAGTGTGCCGGTGCGCGCCCTGGATCCGAACCTGGGCCGCCAGCAGCGGAGCACGCGCACTTAACCGCTAAGCCACAGGGCCGGTCCCTTTTTCCTTTCTTTCTTTCTTTCTTTTTTTTTTTTTTTTTGGTGAGGAAGATTGGCCCTGAGCTAACATCTGTGCCAGTCTTCCTCTATTTTGTATGTGGGGCACTGCCACAGCATGGCTTGATGAGCAGTGTGTAGGTCCACGCCTGGGATCTGAACCCACAAACCCCAGGCCGCCAAAGTGGAGTGCACGAACTTAACCACTACACCATGGGGCTGGCCCCCATCTATTTTCTGATAGCACTTATGGCTCTCTGAAATTATTTTAACTCTTTGTCTACTTGGAGATTGTCTCCCCACGGGAATGTGAGCTGCATTAGGGAGGGTTTTTTGGTCTGTTTTGTCATTGCTGTATCTCCAGTGCCTGAAACAATGCCTGGCATGTAGTATTCACTCAGTAAATAAACGAGAATGCTGATTTGTTCATTCTCACTGAGAAATATGTATTATGTGAACTGGGGACTTTGTCTCATTTGGTCAACACACTTTCTCTCCATATAAAATGATGTGGGAAGTCAGTTATAATCAGATGAGTCTTTGATGAGCATGGAGTCAGGCAAGGACACATGGTTGGAGGTTCCCAGTGTTTGGTGGCCTACGTCTCTGAGGTTTTCCTTAATGGACCTTTGGAATGTACCTGCCAAGGAGACTAGTAGCCATGACACCCCTGTCTACGTGGCACTGGACACCCAGAGATATATTCTTATATTTTTGAGTAGATTCCATGCGGACACCATACTTAGGTGAATAGATTGTTTCGTCAGATGCTGAATAAAGCAAAAATGGCACAATTTTCACATGAAAAGATGCTCAACATCACTAATCATCAGGGAAATGCAAATCATAACCACACTAAGATATCATCTTACACCTGTTAAGAATGGCTATAATCACCAAGACAAAAACTAACAAATGCTGGAGAGGCTGTGGAGAAATGGGAACCCTAATTCACTGCTGGTGGGAATGCAAACCGGTGCAGTCTCTATGGAAAACAGTATGGAGATTCCTCAAAAAATTAAAAATAGAAATACCTTATGATCCAGCTATCCAACTACTGGGTATCTACCCAACAAACCTGAAATCAACAATCCAAAGAGGCTTAGGCACCCCTGTGTTCATTGCAGCATTATTCACAATAGCCAAGACATGGAAGCAACCCAAATGTCCCTTGACTGATGATTGGATAAAGAAGATGTATATCTGCACACAATGGAATACTACTCAGCCATAAAAAAAGACAAAATCGTCCCATTTGCAACAACATGGATGGACCTGGAGGGTATCATGTTAAGCAAAATAAGCTAGAAAGAGAAAGACAAATACTGCATGATTTCACTCATGTGTGGAAGATAAACCAATACATGGACAGATAGAACTGTTTGGTGGTTACCAGGGGCAAGGGGGTTGGGGGGTGGGCACAAGGGGTGAAGGGATGCATTTATATGGTGACTGACAAACAATAATGTACAACAAAAATTTCACAATAAAAAAATGGCACAGGGGCCAGCCCCGTGGCTTAGCGGTTAAGTGTGTGCGCTCCGCTGCTGGTGGCCCAGGTTCAGATCCCTGGCGCACACCAACGCACCGCTTCTCTGGCCATGCTTTGGCCGCATCCCACATACAGCAACTAGAAGGATGTGTAGCTATGACCTACAACTATCTACTGGGGCTTTGGGGGAAAAAATAAAATTATATATAAAAAAAAAAGGCACAATTTTCTGCTTTCTTTAACATTAATCTTCTTCCCCAAGGCTAATCACCATAATAATGACCATAATTAGTGCCCAAATCACCAGCATTTACAGAACATCTCTAAGAGTATGTTTCTTCCACAGAGAAAGAATTGTGTCATCCTGTATTGGTTCTTACTGATTTCTCATAGGCAATTATTTCCAAGTTTTTGAAACTTTATTTTTTTATTTTTTATTTTTATTTTATTTTTTTCCCCCAAAGCCCCAGTAGACAGTTGTATGTCATAGTTGCACATCCTTCCACTTGCTGCATGTGGGACGCGGCCTCAGCATGGCCGAAGAAGCGGTGCGTCGGTGCGCGCCTGGGATCCGAACCCAGGCCACCAGTAGCGGAGCGCGTGCACCCAACCGCTAAGCCACGGGGCCAGCCCAATTTTTCCAAGTTTTTGGAAATAACTTTATTGTTGCCCCTCATATGACTATTTTATAGAGAAAATTGTGAACAGATTCAGTTTCTGAATTTGTAGCTTTTAAACCCTATTTGGGGAGACAAAACTAATTCACCTGAAAGATTAAGAAACTAAATAAAAGGAAGTTGTATTAGTCTGACCAGGCTGCCATAACAGAATACCACAGCCTAAGTGGCTTAAACAACAGAAATTTATTTTCTCAGAGCTCTAGAGGCTGGAAGTCCAAGATCAAGGTCCTGGCACGGCTGGTTTCTGGTGAGAGCTGTGCCTGGCTTGCAGGTGTTTCTTCCTCTTTTGACACCAGTCCTATGGGATTAGGCCCCCACCTTTATGATGTAATTTAACCTTAATTGTCTCCTTAAACTCTCTATCTCCAAATACAGTCATATTGGGTGTGAAGCCCTTCAACATATGAATTTTGCCATGGGGCGGGGGGGGGGGGGGAACAATGACATAATTCAGTCCATAACAGAGGTCCTCTCCTCTCATGAGTTTTTTGTGGGAATGTATATTGATGCAACCACCTGAAGGGCAGTTTGGCATTATCCACCAAAATTTCAAATGTATACATCCTTTTTTTTTTTTGTGAGGAGATCAGCCCTGTGCTAACATCTGCCAATCCTCCTCTTTTTTTGCTGAGGAAGACTGGCCCTGGGCTAACATCCATGCCTGTCTTCCTCCACTTTATATGGGACGCCGCCACGGCATGACCTGCTAAGCAGTGCATCAGGTGCGCACCCGGGATCCGAACCGGTGAACCCCGGGCCACCGCAGCGGAGCGCACGCACTTAACTGCTTGCACCACCGGGCCGGCCCCATCAAATGTATACATCCTTGATCTCTTCAAGGAAACTACAGATGTACAAGAATGGTCACTGTAACTTAATTTGTAATAGTGAAAAGCTGGAAATAAACATAATTTAAATAATGATATATTCATATAGTGGAACTGGTACTCACTAAGATCTCAGTATTTGGTCAATGAATGGAATAACGTATTGTTACATGAAAAAAGCAAGTTGTGGAACCACACATATGAAATGGTTCCATTTTTGATTGAAGAAGAGATCAATGTGTCCCTATACCTTTTTTTTATGGGGAAGATTAGCCCTGAGCTAACATCCGATGCCAATCCTCCTCTTTTTGCTGAGGAAGATTGACCCTGGGCTAACATCTGTGCCCATCTTCCTCTACTTTATATGGGATGCCGCCACAGCATGGTATGACAAGCGGTGTGCCGGTCTGTGCCCAGGATCCGAACCTGCGAACCCCGAGCCAAACCAGACTGTGTGAACTTAACTGCTGTGCCACAGGGCCAGCACCCTCCCCCCATATCTTTTTAAACGCATAGAAAAAGCGTGGATGAATGCACACCAAAAGTGACACGGGTTAAACCTGGGGAGTAGAACTGGAATTTGCAGGCCAAGTATATCTTTTACATTATAGTATTGTACTCTGAAATGACTTTTAAACTTTTGTAATAAAAAACTTAAAAAAAAAAATAGGAAAACAATATGAAGTGGCCTCTAAATGGCAAATGAGTGAATGGTAGAGATAGTGATAGACTGGAGAAATACAGAGTGGGATCACGGCCGGCTGGGATGATCAAAAAGGTTTTCCTGGATAAAACAGGGCATGAAAGGTGTTTTGAGGCTCGAGTCTTCTGGACAGAAACACAAATGCAGAACACCGGGTGTCTTTGGAGGACAGCAAGGTGATCCGCAGCAGCAGGAAATAAATTTGGTAATGAGACGCCAACGTGGGTTTCTGAGCCCAAAGAAAAACCGGGAATGCGGGATTTTCAGATTAAACTCGCAGTAGTGCCGCAGTATAAGATTAGGTGACGGTTAGCTCATGGAAGGAGGGTGCCCACTAGGGGGTGCTGTTTCAAAACATAGGCTTCCTTGGATTAAGGTGAAAGGAAAGTACAGCAGGTAGAACGTCAGACAAAGAGGGCGTTCCGACAGTTGCACAAATTAGGAAAATAAAAAGATGCACAAATGTTAACTCTCCCTTTATTACCTCGCGCTCCCCAACTAGGTCCCCCGCGCAACACAAACTAAGCATTACAGTAAACCTACAGCACGCGCCACTTGAGCTCCCTTTAAAGCGACTACTATTCCCAGGCTCCCTCGCGAGGCCAAGGCTCTCTTCCCGGGTCAAGCGGGTCTCGCCGCGCGGCCTCCTGGGGTCCGTAGTTTTGCACTGTCTTTCGGGAGTTGTAGTTCCCTTCACACAAGCGGCTGGGCGAGGCGGCGCCGGCGGTCAGAGCTGCGCTGGGTGTTCAGGGGCCAAGATGGCGGCGCGCCGGGGACGGAGGGACGGAGTCGGTCCGCCTCCGAGTGGGGGCCCCGGCCCCGACCCTGGCGGTGGAGTCCGCGGCAGCGGTTGGGGGAGTCGGAGCCAAGCGCCATATGGGACTGTGGGCGCTGTGAGCGGAGGGGAACAGGTGAGAGGCTGGCGGGAGGCCCGCGGCTGGCAGCAAAGCGGCGTGTGCCGGGCGGTGACACGTGGACGCCACAGGAAAGGAAGGAAGCGCTCTGGAGTCGATGCCGGGTGGCTGCAGGAGACAGGTTGGGCCGAGTGACCTGGGCCACTTGCTGTGGGGGACGCGAGCAGAGACAGGGTCTTTTCGGCCATTCCTCCGTAATGCTGGAGGGGCAGAGCCGGGTGTCGGAAACATGGCCCGTGGTGGGGGGATCAGGGATTCGGACTTGGAGTGGAGGGCTAAGACCTTCCTTTAAGGATGCCGAGTGGAGGTACCCCTAGCCCCGGGCCGCAGTGCCTTTTCGGAGCCACGTGGGGTGGGGGGAGCGATTTTCCCGGGAGAACTTGTCTGCTTCCCCTCCCCCTCTAGGCGGCCTCGGCACCCACGTGGGTTGGGCTCCCGGTAAGGGGGGGCCCGCGGGCCGCGGGTCCACGTGGGGGCGGGGAGGGGATGTCCACGTGGCTCCCGCCCCAGGCTGCCCGGCATCTCGTATCGGCGCTAGAGCCGCGCTGCCGGGAACTGGGTGTGTCTCAGCCGGTCCCGCCATCTCCGACCCGGGCTGGGGGCCCCGGCCGGGAAGGAAGGTAGGGGCTGCTAGAGTCAACTTTGCCTAGAACCTTGGAGAAGTTTTTTTCCTCCTGCTTTGGTCCGCGGCGCCTCTCGACAGCGGATGGTGAAGGACTTGCCAGATGTGCGGGGAGTCAGTTCCCTGCGGATGGCGGAGTGTGTTGGGGAGAGTAGAGGGCTTAGGTTGAAGGGCTGTGGAGTGAGCTTGTGGCGGGTTTCTGTCTGACCGGCTTGGGGTGGGTTGTGAGTCACGGGCAGTGGCGTTTTGGTTGCCTGCGGTCCTGCCTCATTCGTGCTTCAAGGGCCATGGGGAGTGTCAACATATACATGAGACAAGCTTAAGGGAGAGGGAATCCTCTCTCCTTCCCTCACTTTTTCCTCCAGCATCTCTTTTGAGGAGGCAGCTAAGGTCTGCTCTTGTGAAGTGACACATACAAATTGACGTGGTCTGTGTTTAAGGCTCTCTGAACTTTTTGCTGGGGATGGGAAAAGTTGGAGGCGATTTGAGAACTACTCCACACTAGTTGAACGTTTATTGGCCGGGGAAGTTCTTTCTGTCGGATTTTTTTTTTCCTTCGTCTTCAGTTCTCCATACTTAAAAACTGTTGTCGTCCCATTTCTCAGCAGAGGGCTTCTTAAAGTTCCCACCCAGAGTGGAGGTGGGCAAGACTTAGTTTGAATTATCTCTCTTAAGCAATTAAGCTGAGTCCTTGAAAGTTTTTTTTCTTTTTTTTGGTCTCTAAGTAGGAGCTGGGCTGCAGGCTTCAGGTAGTGTCAGTTCCAGCAGGCAGTCCAGTCCCTTGCCCAGGGGAAAATGGTTTCTAGGGCTCTAACTTGGGAGCTGCCTACCCTCTCTTCTCTCCTTTTCTCAGAGTTAACATCTTGTGCACCTGGTGCTGCTCACCCTTTGGGGGAGAGGCAGGAAGGATCCATGATCCAGCTGTAATCCAAGTTAGGTGGTCATTTGGGATTGGAGAGGGTCTCATGGAAAGATTATAAACTCCCCTGCCCCCCAAAGATGGGTATGTGGAAGCTGGTCAGTCAACCAGCTATTTATTGAGATACCACTATGTTCAAACATGGAGGATACTGTGGTTAAACTACACATGGTCCCTGTCCTCCAGGATCTTGTGTTTTTATCAAGATAGACAATAAATAATGAGTGGGACAAAAAGAAAGTGCAGCATATTTGGGATTATATAATCAGTAGTAGTAATCTACTTTGCAGGGTCTGGGAAGGGACATTTTAAGCTGAGACCCAAAAGCTGTGTGAGGGGGGTGGGGTAGGGAAGCTTTCATCAGAGAAATAGTATGTGAAGGTCTTGAGGTGGGAGAGAACATGGCTTATTAGAGAAACTGAGAGACCTGTGTGGCTGGTGTGTAGAGAGACAGGCAACGTGGTGAGAGAGGACACAGTGGATCAGGAGAGTCTGGTGGGGAAGACCAGGACCCCTGTAAGCCATATCAAGGAGTTTAAACCAGATGCTAAGAGCAGTGAGATGCCATTGGAGGGGTTTAGTGAGGGTCTCAGGAAGTGATCAGATGTGTATTTTTAAAAGTTCATAGCTGGTTTTGAACGCTGCAGGGGCATGACTGGATGTGGGAAAGCCAGTTGGGAGGTTGTTGAAGTTAGAGATGCTGGCAACTAGCTTACTTTTAGCCTGGCGTTAGCCCCTAGATGATCTTGGTACTCTTGGAGCTGTGCTGTTTGGGGATTGAGGGATGGGTGAGGTCAGGTGAAGGTGAGATTGTCTGCAGCTGGGGCTCCAGTACCTGCCCGATGGAGGTGGTGATGAGTGGTTTGTAGAGCTGGACATTGTCTTGAGATTCTGGCCTAGTGGCTGGGCCAGGAAGGTGGCAGGGCAAGTCGAGATGCAGCCTCCTTGCTCAACCCAGGAGTGTTTGCTGAGCCAGGTGCTATTCAGCTGTTGGTTGTAATTACAGGATTGTAAAGGCCTAGGAGGAGTTAGTGCCTAAAACCTGCCACCTTTCACTTCATCTCTGGGCCTGGCCTCCTAAAGTGTCTCTATCTAGCCTTTCCTTTCCTTGGGCATTGGAACTCCTCAGCTTGGTTAGGAGGGTGGGTGTGGGAGTATAATCACACCTGTTGCTTTTTCTTTTTCTTGGAAGAGGTGCAGAGTTTCCCTTTGCTACAGAAGGGGAGAGGGGGCTGACTTGTCCATGTTTGTTCCAGTTCTCCAGGCTTTGTATCATCTGTTTCCTATAGGGGAGATACCCATGGCTCTGGCCTCTGGCTTTGCCAGCCCCATTCCCGTCACTTCTGGCCCTGCCCACGCCCACACTCTTGACAGGCCTGGGCGGGTGGCTCCCTGTCTGACAAGGCTGAAGATGTTGCTAGTTCTCAGGGAAGTGGTGGGGTGAGGCTTTTCCATCTACAGAATCAAGCTTTCTCTTGCTCTCACCTGGTAGGGGTAGGGAAAGAGACTTTTCCCTTGGGACTAGCATTGAGAGGTTGGGTGGCACACTGTAGGGCCTTCAAAATAAAAGTGTGAAGTACATGTGAATATCAACTGTGAATAAGACACTGCCAGGCATCATGGATAACCAGGAACTATAAACAGAGTTTAAATTTTTCCAAGAGCCAAGAAGAATATAAGCTAATAGAATACAAAGGGTTATTTGCCCCCAAGGAACTTGGAATCTAGTTTGAGTAATGATGCAAGGAATGTCATGAGGTAAGGACGGGGTAGGATGTGATTGCCAGAAAAGTGAGTGGTACAGAAACTGTGAATTCAGGGTTGTGATTAGAAATCAGCATGGGTTGGGGAAGTCTGAGATGTCTTCTTGAAGAAGGTGGGATTTGAGCTAAGCAGAGAAGAGAGGCCTAAGTGGGATTTGAGGAAGGTAAGGTGGTTGTAGCTGAAATTGCCTCCTTGCTGACCTCCTCTTCTTTGGTGTGCCCCTTGGACTGTCTGCCTTCATCACCACCAGCAGCTGACTCCTCTGCTTGATCTTTTTGATGTTTCTGCTCCCCAGTTTCATAATCTCCTGTGGCTCCAACTGTTTCTGGATGGAGTCCAAACTTTTTTTTGCCCAGAAGGTCCTTGAACACTGCTATCTTGGTTGGGGCTTTGGCTCATGGGTTGTACTTCTCTCTGCCCAGGAAATCCAGAGGTTTGGCTGTGGTGGGGCTGCTGCTGAGTCTGGTGCCATTGGTGGAGGGCTGGGTACCTGGTTTACTGAGCATATCAGTCGGCTGCCCCGAGGGCCCATGTCCTGCAGCCTTTACCATGCCCTTCTGACCTTCCCCCCTTTTGCCCCAGGTGCTGCTGCATGAGGAGGGGGATGATTCTGGCTTTGTCAGTCTGTCTCGGCTGGGCCCCTGTCTGAGGGACAAGGACCTGGAGATGGAGGAGCTCATGCTGCAGGATGAGACACTGCTGGGGACCATGCAGAGCTACATGGATGCCTCCCTCATCTCCCTCATTGAGGATTTTGGGAGCCTTGGAGAGGTGAGCTGGGACTGCGCTTGGAGGTCTTCAGGCAGGAGCTTTGCGTGGGAGGCTATGGCTCAGTGGCTCTGCTCTCCCAGAACCGTGGCTCCTAGATACCCAACCCGAGTCCTTGAAGAGTGTTGTTTGTCTCTAGGTGAGTGCTGGGCTGCAGGCTGCCAGGTTATATCCCACATAACGATGCCCTGGCAGGCTTGGACTGTAGTCCAAGGCCTTTCCCCCTGCCTGAGCCCCTGACTTAACGTGTCCAGAGGGTTCTGATCTCTCTTTTGAGCCCAATTCCAGCCTAGCCAAGGGTTGTTGCTGAGTATCCCACATCTTACCTGAGAGTGGAGGGTGCATGTGAAATATAAGTTTAAGACTCACTTCCGACAGGTTTTTGTTGACACTAGAGAGGTGGTTGATGGTAGTAAATGAGATTGGAACACATGCCTCCTGGTACTCAAATCTGGCAGATTGAGCTGAACTGAGCCTGGGAAACTGAGTCTCTTGGCATCCAGTCCTTCTCAGTGGCCCAGTAGGTCATTAGGGATGTTAGTGGGACCTTCCTGTTGTCTTTCTGGAGCAGAGCAGGTTATCCCTGGAGGACCAGAATGAAGTGTCGCTGCTCACAGCTCTGACGGAGATCTTGGATAATGCAGACTCCGAGAACCTGTCTCCGTTTGACAGCATTCCTGACTCGGAGCTGCTTGTGTCACCTCGGGAGGGCTCCTCCGTGAGTGTGGGACCAGGGGAAGGGGATGTGTGGTTGGTGCAAAGGTTAGAACCACATCTGTGGGCCTACTCAATAGTTTTGAGGCACAAAATCATCTCAGTTCTTTTTCTCCCTCTTAGCTACACAAGCTGCTCACCCTCTCTCGGACACCCCCAGAACGTGACCTTATCACCCCAGTTGACCCATTGGGGCCCAGCACGGGCAGTAGTAGAGTGAGTGCGGTAAGCCTGACCTAGGGAGCCTTAGGGACTCCCAGGAGGGAGGAGTGTGTGGGGAGAGGTCTGGAAAAATATATTCCTGGAGAAAACTCCTTCTACTGCTTCTCTTCTCTCCTGCAGGTTGAGATGTCTCTCCCAGATCCCCCTTGGGACTTCTCCCCACCCTCCTTCTTGGAGACCTCCTCCCCCAAGCTTCCTAGCTGGAGACCCCCAAGGTCGAGACCCCGCTGGGGCCAATCCCCTCCTCCCCAGCAGCGTAGTGATGGGGAAGAAGAGGAAGAGGTGGCCACCTTCAGTGGCCAGGTGCTTGCTGGGGAGCTTGACAACTCTGTAAGCAGCATCCCAGACTTTCCCATGCACCTGGCCTGCCCTGAGGAGGAAGATAAAACAGCAGCAGCAGAGATGGCAGTGCAGGCAGCTGGTGACGAGAGCATCTCCTCCCTGAGTGAGCTGGTGCGGGCCATGCACCCATACTGCTTGCCAAACCTCACCCACCTGACATCACTTGAGGATGAGCTTCAGGAGCAGCCAGATGATTTGACACTGCCTGAGGATTGTGTGGTGCTGGAGATTGTGGGTCAGGCGGCCGCAGCTGGCAATGACCTAGAGATCCCAGTTGTGGTACGGCAGATCCCTACTGGACCCCAGCCTGTGCTCTTGGGTGACTCACTAGAGGCTGGTCCAGCCTTGCAGCTGCTCTTGCCTACACTAGAGTCAGAGACGGAGGCTGCTGTGCCCAAGGAAGCCCTCTGCCCTGAGAAAGAGGGGTTGTCACTGGACTCAGAAGAGAAGCTGGAGTCAGCGTGCTTGTCGGAGCCCAGGGAGGTCGTGGAGCCAGTGGTGCCCAAGGGGCCTCAGAACCCATCAGCCAATGCAATGCAGAGTTCCCAGAGAGCTCGAAAGGGCAGGAGGAAGAAGAGCAAGGAGCATCCAGGAGCCTATGCAGAAGGCTATGCCAGGAGGCTGAGGTCATCTTCTCGTGGGCAGTCTACCGTGGCTACAGATGTGACCTCTCAGGCAGGCAACTTGCCTCAGGAGGAACTTCAAAGAGAGGTTGCGCCTCCCTGTGGTAGAGGGAAGCCCCGGGCTTGGGCTCGGGCATGGGCAGCTGCCTTGGAGAAGCCTACCTCTGGGAACTTGGAGAGTAGTGCTGGACAAGCTAGTCCTGCTAAAGAAGGTCCTCTAGACCTCTACCCCAATGTGGTTGACACCATCCAAACCGACCCTGTTCCAACCCATCTCTCATTGGTTGACTCTGCTCAAGCTGACCGCATGCCACTTGACTCTGTTGAAGCTGATCCCACTGCAGTTGACCCTGTTCTAGCTGACCCTGCACTGGTTGACCTTGCTTCAGTTAACTCAGAGCTGGTTGACCCTCTCCCAGATGACCCAGTGCTCACTGCCCCAGTCCTGGCTGACTCAGCAGCAGTTGACCCTGCAGTGGTTGTTCCCATCTCTGAGGATCTGCCACCAGTTGACCCTGTCCCGGCCAATCCAGCACCAGTTGACTCTGTTCCTGATGACCTGGCTCCAGTTGACCCTGTGCTAGTTAAGTCTAGGCCAACTGATCCCAGACGTGGTGCAGTATTATCAGCCCAGGGGAGTCCAACCCCCCAGCTCCTCCTGGAGTCTGAGTCCTTGGACCCCCCAAAGGCCATCATCCCTGAAGTCAAGGAGGTTGTGGGTCCTCTGAAGGTGGAAAATGGTATCAATGCCACAACCCACGAAGCCAGACCTCGGCCTCTTAGCCTGTCTGAGTACCGGCGACGAAGGCAACAGCGCCAAGCAGAGGCAGAAGAGAGGAGTCTCCAGCCCCCAGCTGGGAAGTGGCCCAGTCTCCCAGAAACCCCCACAGGACTGGCAGACATCCCTTGTCTTGTCATTCCACCAGCCCCAGCCAAGAAGACAGCTCTACAGAGAAGCCCTGAGGCTCCTTCTGAGGCTTGCTTTGTGCTTTTGGGTCCCAGCTCTGCTTCTCCTAGTCTTGAGCCACCTGCAAACAAACCTATGGCCTCAACTCCCACTGAGCAGGTGCCATCCCAAGAGATGCCACTGCCAGCGAGACCTCCACCTCCTGTTGTGCAATCTGTGTCCCCCACAATGCCCACGGCTCTACCTTTTACCCCGGGTGGGCTGGGCATGACCCCCATGCTGCCCCTTCCTGCAAGTGGGCAAGGGGTCCCCAGTCTGCCCCCACCACCCTTGCAGCCTCCTAGTCTTCCGATGTCTCTGGGGCCAGTGCCACCTGATCCCTATACTCACTATGCCCCTGTGCCACCCTGGCCTTGTTATCCCCCTGTGTCCCCTTCTGGCTATCCTTGCCTGCCCCCCCCACCAACAGTGCCGATAGTGTCTGGTACTCCTGGCGTCTTTCCTGTGCCCCCCACTTGCAATGTGCCTTGGGTGCCCCCTCCTGCCCCAGTCCCACGTTACAGCTCCAGCTGTACCTATGGGCCCTTGGGATGGGGCCCAGGGCTGCAACACCCTTCATTCTGGCCTACTGTACCCCCGCCTCCTTTGCCGCTAACTCCTGTTGGGAGGGGTGTTCCCTCACCCAAGGTGGAGCCCAGTGGCATCCCAGCTGGCCCCCCTGAAAGTGTACTTCCTTTACCGATGATGACTCCTCTCAGTCTTGGGTCTGCTGGCCAGGGTGCTCCACAGATAGAGCCCACCAAGGTGGAGGTCAAGCCAGTGCCTGTATCTCCCCATCTGAAACATAAGGTGTCCTCCCCGGTGCAAAGCCCCCGGATTAAGGCTCTACCATGTCTGTCTGCTGAGACTGTGGCTGTTGAGGAGCCTGCATCAGAGAGACTAAAGCCTGAGACCCAGGACACCAGGCCCAGGCAGAAGCCCCCCTCTCCTGTTGCCAAGGCTGTTCTTACACCAAGGCAGGGCACTGTTGCCAAGCTGCCTGCTGTCCACCCAGCCCGTCTAAGGAAACTGTCCTTCCTGCCTACCCCACATACCCAGGGTCCTGAGGACGTGGTGCAGGCTTTCATCAGTGAGATTGGTGAGTGCCACATGGTTCAGCAGGTATGAAGAAGGGCACGGGGCTTGGGTGGGGAGTGTCCTCCACAGAACAGGATAAACCACCTTGGTGGGGCTGGCCTTTGTTGGATTTCTTTGGAGGGTTCTTGAGAGGCAGAACTCTGGGTTTGTTTTATTCCTTCCTGCTTTGTGTTGCTGCCTTGGTTTACTTAGTACATTGGGCAGGGGGAGCATAAAGGGAGAAGTGAGGTGATTTGGAACTTACTGGGACCTGTGTACTCAGTTGATAGGGGCTGGTTTCCAATCCTGTTTTGTGTGCTTTCATAGGAATTGAGGCATCCGACCTATCCAGTCTGCTGGAGCAGTTTGAGAAATCAGAAGGTAGGGGAACCTGGGTAGCTTTGCTTCAACCCCGTTTTGTTGCTTTTTCCTTTGGGCCCAGGCCTGTAGTTGCTTAATCTGGGGGTAAGGGGGAAGGAGCAGTCTCAGCCACTAGAGCAGCCCCCTAATTGGAATGAGGAGACCAGATTCACCTGTGACACAATCTAAGCTAGGGAGAGTGTGGTAATACAGCATGGCAAGAACTGTAAGAGTAGATGGTTGGGGAGATCCAAGTGGGGTGGTTTGTTTGGAGACATTTTCTAGAGGGAAGTAGCTCTCAAGCTGGGCCTTGAAAGACAGGATTTCATAGAGTGGGTGGGCAGTAAAGGCAGAGGTATAGGAAGGATTGCATGTGGTGTATTTGGAAGGTAATGGATAGCTCAGCCTTCTCAGTACAAGGCACGGATCTAGGTGTTGTGGAGGATACTGTGTCCTGTTCTCAAGGAGCTTGTGGTCTAATTGGGGAGAAAAATCTCCAGAAATGACTCTTGAATTGGTAACAGGTATCTATAGTACAAAGCAAAATATAAAATATAAGTATAGAATAAGAGTAGGCTACGAGACTAGGAAGTTAGTTAGGCAGGTCATGTAGAACCTTGAATGCTAGGTTTAGAAGTTTGGACTCTATCTCAGATTCAGTGGGGAGTGTGGATGTTTCTGAGCAGAGAAGAGACATGACTAAAAATAGTACCTGGGCACCCACTGGAGGAGAATGGATCTCTAGGGAGAACCCAGTGGAATCGGTAGGCAAAGTGGATTTTCCTCCTTTGGGTCTCAAAGCCAGCCGTTCTGTGCCTCCTCAATCTGGAACATCTGGTTGGGCTTTTAACTAGTATGGTTTCTTTGCAGCCAAAAAGGAGTGCCCTCCCCCGCCTCCTGCTGACAGCTTGGCTGTAGGAAACTCAGGGTAAGTATGGAGACCTGAGTGAGTTACCCTACAGCTGTTGGTCAGCAGCCGGCCGGCGCTCCAGGACTGTCAGCTGGATGCCTCTGTTGCAGGGACGTTTAGTCAGCTTTAGAGTCTTTCCCTGTTTCCCATCCCCTGTTCAGCTCATCACTACTGGGCACTGTCTCGGGTGGCGAGGTAGGAGGATGTGTACCATCCTCTGGCTGATTCCATTCTGGGATTCCAAATGTCCTGGAAGTGCCTTTTATCTTCTTGCAAGTTTGTCTTTGGGGATTTCTTTCCTTCATTTAACAAACTTTAAGCTTGCTCAGCACTGATGATGGTGTAAGATAAAGTGGGAGAAGATGTTCATAGCTAGGGATCCCCTGACTCCTTGGAGGACACAGGCACCCTGGACCTCCTTGTCCCCAATCTTCCAGCACTGAGAGGCCTTTTTTCATTTTTCATGTTCATGATACTCTGTCCTGTTCTGCCAAGCATGTTCCCCCCATATTGATTTTGGGTTGGTTTGAGCCAGGCAGGCAAGGTTCCTGGCTTGAAGGAGGTGGGGGATATTCAAGGTCGTAGTTGGCCTGCCTCCTGGAATTGGGCAGAGCTGAGTTGAAACCTAACCTCCAGTTTCGTCACTAAGACCCCTTTTGTGCTGGAGGATAATGATAGGGGCAGTTTGTGCATCCCATTCCTCTGCACGCACCCCCTCTCCCATTGCTTTGTGAGGGAAGCAGATATACAAGATGTTGAGGAGGCAATGAACCAGGCTTTCCCTTTTCCCCCGCCAGCAGCGTTGACACTCCCCAGGAGAAGAGGCCCCTAGACCGGTTACAAGCCCCAGAACTGGCCAACGTGGCAGGTGGGTTCAGGGTGGGGAACTCTGCCTTTGATTAGTTTATCTAGCAAATGTTTGTAGGGCCCGCTCTGCACCAAGTGTGTGTAGGTGTTGGGGATACAGAGATCTGATCTTATCCTTGAGGTTCTTACAGTCCAGGGGGCAGATGTGTAAACAAATGAGCATGTTGACCTATCAGAGGTTGTATGTTAAAGAAGCCTGTGTGGTTTACAGTGGGGTCTGAAGGGGGACAATGAGGGAAGGGGTATATAGAAGGTAATCCCCAAAGCGGAGGCTTGAGAAAATCACTGATACGGATCAGGTAGATTTAGGGGATGGGTCATTCTAGGTAGACGGAGAGACTTGAGTGAACTGAAGAAACAAAACCAGCCTGGTATGTTTTGGGGAATTGCAAGTGGTTCTGTTTGTCTAGAGTGTAGTGGCTGATCAGGATGCTGGGCAGAGCTAAAGCAAGAAATAAAGCTAGAGTGGTAAGTAGGAGGTCAGATTATGGGACCTTAGAAAGCCATGTTAAGCTGTTTGGACTTTATCCTGTGCATTGAAGAAGCAATTGAAAAAGCTTTACTAGATTGGTTTTTGGGTGCTCCCTCCAGCAGGAATGTAGAAGACAGGTGAACGGGTATGAAGCCCGAGGTCGGAGATCATTGAATGATTACAAGAGTCCAGGCAAGATGCAGCCCAGAAGTTGGGCAGTGCTGGGAGGAGGGGGGGGGTCTAAAAATGGAGAGGTAGACCAGACAGGACGTGGTCACCAGCTAGGTTTGGGTAGTGAGAGGTTGAGGGGTTCAGGAGGATCCTAGCTGGCTGAGTTTCTATTGCTGGTCCCCAAGATGGGGAACTCAGGAGAAGGAGTAGTTGCAACAGTAGAAGAAGTTTGGCTGTTGACCATTGTTGGTGTACTTTGTGAGATGAGGTGGGGGTCTCTGGAGCCTATATACGCAGTGTTTAGAAGTGTAGAATTGGATCTCATCCTGCTATCTCCATCCTCCCTCCCCTCACAGGGCTCACCCCTCCAGCTACCCCTCCCCACCAGTTATGGAAGCCCCTGGCTGCTGTCTCACTGCTGGCCAAAGCCAAATCTCCTAAGTCCACCGCCCAGGAGGGAACCCTGAAGCCTGAAGGAGTTACAGAGGCCAAACATCCACCTGCAGCCCGTCTCCAAGAAGGGGTCCATGGCCCTAGTCCAGTCCATGTGGGCTCTGGGGACCATGACTATTGTGTTCGGAGCAGGACCCCCCCAAAAAAGACACCTACCCTAGTCATTCCAGAGGTGGGCTCCCGATGGAACGTCAAACGCCACCAGGATATCACCATCAAACCTGTCTTGTCCCTGGGCCCAGCTGCCCCCCTGCCCCCATGCACAGCTGCTTCCCAGGAACCACTTGATCACAGGACTAGCAACGAGCAGGCAGATCCCCCAGCTCCTTGCCTTGCCCCATCTGCCTTGCTGTCCCCTGAGGCTTCGCCCTGCCGGAATGATATGAACACTAGGATTCCCCTTGAGCCCTCAGCCAAGCAGCGGTCAGTGCGCTGTTATCGAAAAGCCTGCAGGTCAGCCAGCCCCTCAAGCCGGGGCTGGCAGGGCCGCCGTGGCCGCAGCAGCCGTTCTGTCAGCTCTGGGTCCAACCGGACCAGCGAAGCATCTTCCTCCTCATCCTCATCGTCGTCTTCCTCATCCCGATCCCGGTCCAGGTCCCTCTCCCCCCCACACAAGAGGTGGCGAAGGTGAGCTCTGATGGCCTGTTAGGTCCTCTCCATTTAGGAAGTTCATGTGCTCTCTTCTGGTTTACTTTAAAAGCTTTTGCACATTGAGTTTAATACTTTCAGGCACTAAGGCTTCTATTTCTCTCTTCTCCCCCTTTCCTGGATTGTTGGAGGAGGCAAGCGTCATCCAAGCTTGAGAAGATAGCTTCTATCCCCTGTTGGAGTTTAGGGTATCCCTGAGGTCTCCTGCTTCCTTGAGACCTGCCTTGGGGAGACCGCTAGGGTTTGATCTTGACCATGTTGATTTCTTTGCATACTGTATCAGTCCTCATTTCTGAGGTGGTATGTGGAAAGGTGGGATAGTGGATTGTTAATGGCAAACAGTCCTTCCTTTAATCATCTGTTGAGGAAAGAGTCTGAGACAGTTCCTTTGGGCGTCACTGTGGCCTCATCTGTTTTCCAGCAGTACCTTTTTCTCAGTAACAGACACAAATTTTCCTATTTAATCAGTGAAGAATTCTTGGCTTGTGACAGTGAAGTATATCTTCAGAAATGGCCTCTACTACAGGTCTAGCACAGTCTCCCCTTATGCCATGGTTACAGTACTCCTGTGAGACATGTTAGGGGAGCAGGAATCCAGAGACTCAGGCCTGGCCCCGCCAGCTAGTTGTAAGACCAAGGGCCTAGCCCTTTATCTCTCTGGGTCTCCATTTATTTTTCTTCTTTCTGATTTGTTAAATATTTTTCAATTTTTAATTGCATAACTGAAAATAAGTATGGTCTGTGCCAAAACACTCTAAAACATTCCAGATACATCTAAAGTTCATGAGGGCCTCAATTTGGTCAGCTGTGAAGAGTTCTTTTAGACCTCTTCTGCTCTGCTTTCCCTTTGGTCCTGAGCTTCCTGATAGGGAGACAGGGCTGGGGCCAAGGTGAGGTAAGTGGAATATACCTGCATCACTCCCAGCATTCCATTTATTCTTCAGGTCCAGTTGCAGTTCCTCTGGACGATCCCGAAGATGCTCTTCCTCTTCCTCCTCCTCATCTTCCTCGTCTTCCTCATCCTCATCATCCAGTTCCCGAAGCCGGTCCCGCTCCCCATCCCCGCGCCGGAGAAGTGACAGGAGGCGGCGGTGAGCATGTATTCGGGGAGTCAGTGCATCTGGGATGCAAGTGCCTGAGAATTCTGAGACTTGAGCTGTCTTATGTCTGGGGGGTTGATGGCACCTTCTTCTTTTGTCAGGTACAGCTCTTATCGTTCGCATGACCATTACCAAAGGCAGAGAGTGCTGCAGAAGGAGCGTGCAATAGTGAGTAGGGGAACAGGAGGAGGACGCTTGCCCCTGAGCCATGAACTCGGAGAGCCATCTGCAGCTGTGGCCCTGGCTCACAGTGTGTCATTTTTCCTTGACCCAACATAGGAAGAGAGAAGAGTGGTCTTCATTGGGAAGATACCTGGCCGCATGACTCGGTCAGAGCTGAAACAGAGGTTCTCTGTTTTCGGAGAGATTGAGGAGTGCACCATCCACTTCCGTGTCCAAGGGTAAGCTTGGGCCCTAAGATCAGGATGTCCTTTCTGCCCCATTCATCTACCTTGATGATTCTTTGTCTTTCCCTCTTGCTCTGGTGTGCTGGGAAGTATAGGACACCTTCATTTCTACAGAGGGTTGGCCATTTGGGGAATGAGAAGAACCACCCCAGTCCCTCTCTGTACCCTGGGGAGCTGTTTCTTCTCCATGGTATGTGCCCAGATAGCCATCCCAGCCCCTGTCTCACCCTCCCCACCAGTGACAACTATGGCTTCGTCACTTACCGCTATGCTGAGGAGGCATTTGCAGCCATCGAGAGTGGCCACAAGCTGAGGCAGGCAGATGAGCAGCCCTTTGATCTCTGCTTTGGGGGCCGCAGGCAGTTCTGCAAGAGAAGCTACTCTGATCTTGGTGAGTAGAGGGTGGCCTTGAGGCTTTGATATATTTCATCGCCTCTCCAGAAGGATTCCCAACCTTTTGACAGTGGGGCTAGGCAGACTTGTCTTCATCTGACACACGAAGAACCTAAGGGGTGGGATGAGAGGAGAAATGGAGGCTCTCCTGTTTTTTTGACGTAAAATCAGGGTGATTTTAGCTCCATCCATTATTGGGATGGGAGGTGGCTGGCCATTTGAGGACCCTGTGGTTGGGAAGTATGGTCAAAGACCTTGATGTTTGTCTCTCTCTACCTCTATAGACTCCAACCGGGAAGACTTTGACCCTGCTCCTGTAAAGAGCAAATTTGATTCTCTTGACTTTGACACATTGTTGAAACAGGCCCAGAAGAACCTCAGGAGGTAACCCTGGGCCCTTCTCCCCCTCCCCCTTTTCTTTGGAGGTGCCCAGCCTCCTCCATCCCCCTCCCCCACTCTAGGGGAGAGAGCTGCTAGTGAGGAGATGACTGTTTTATAAAGAAATGGAAAAAAGTGAAATAAAAAATGTGTTAAATCAGGTTTTTTAAAGGGGTATTTGTTTTTTATAGCAAGCATTGAAACAAGTTAACTTGCATTCCTATGTAAGATGGATGGGGTTGAGGGGTTCCCCCAAAGTTTGGAAGATCTAAGTCACTATTCAGACTAATAAACGTGGACTAGAGAGAACTCCCAAGTGCTGTTGTGCTTCTTTCTATGGTGCTGGTGCCAGACATATTCACTTGTCCTCTATGAATACAATCAGGGACATGCTTACCTCCATTGAGTTCCTAGGACCCCTCTTTGGTCAAGTGCAAAATCCTATTGGACTTGAAACTTGGCTCCTCAAGTGTGTTGTCAGTGAAATCACTTATCTAGGGCAGTGCTTCTCAAACTTGAAAAGGGCATTTGAATCATCTGGAGATCTTTTAGAATGCACATGCTGACTTCAAGGGTGAGACCTGAGATTCTGCATTTCAGACTAGGGGATGCTGATGCTACTGGTCCAGGAAGGGATTTTAATATCAAGGACCTAGAGGAAGCTCATACTTGTTCCCAGTAGAGGTTTTTAAATAAAAGGTTTTCTAAGGCTTGTGTCTCATGTACCATTTTAGCTTGAGCACAATGCTTGGCACACAGCAGGTGCTCAGATGTTTAAAGAATGCTTGTATGTGGATAGACCTCTGGGGAAGAGGGAGATGTAGGAGTTTTATCTAGGAGAGGGGAATGCCTGTTTTGAGAAAGGCAAAGGAGAGGTGTGTCCCCTGAGAAAGTGGATCCTTACTTAACCTTCCTGAGGGGCATTAAAGGGAAGTAGTCAAGGGGTAGTGGGTAGAATTGAAGGGATTGCTGTCTGCCACTGTGAACTGAAATATGATAGAACTTGGAATTAACTTGGCAGGCCTAGGCATTGATATTTCAGTACTCATAACAAAGGGAGAGGCAGTTGGGGGGGTTTTCTGCATCTCCCACAGGGAGAGTTCACTGTGTGAACTGTGACCCAGGAGGTAGAAGGGTGATTTTCAGGACTATAGGTTTGAAGAAATTGCTGCTGTTGTCACTCAGGTTTGGTGCACAACCCCGTTTCCCTTCATGGAGCTGACGTAAGGCTAAATAAGGAAGGAAAGGGTTGTCTCATGGGCAAGTCATGACTGAGGGAGGGGAGTTGTGGGGATCAACGCCCCACTACTACCACGGATAATCTGAAGGATCCTCTGCAGTGGAGGTGGGAGTCCAGAGGCTGAGGTGGTCTCTGAGAAAGGGCCTCCCTAGGTGTTGGAGGCAGTGAAGATGAAGGGTGGGAATCCACTGGCAGCGCGAATGGGGGCGGTTGGGAGATCTTGTGACCAAGTCTGAGAGTCCAAGAACAGTTCGAGCCCGCCGGTCCACTGATTGCTCTGGAATATGAATCACAGCTGGGGTGCTGGAAACCGCTGCTCTGAGAAGTGGTGCCTCCAGCGGAAAGACGGGGCGCGGGAAGTGCAGAGTTTTCCCGCCACGGCCGAGGACGTGACCTCTGACGTCAGGGCTCCGCCTTCACAAGGTGGTGGACGGCGGGCTCCGCCCTTACCAAGATGGCGACGCTCGTGGGACCGGAAAGAGCTTACAGATTTCGCCTTGACCCTGCCTCCGAGTTGGAGGCGGGACCGCCCTATGGAGTGCGCCCTCCCCTTGCGCTGTGCGCCCGCTCGGCGCGATGGCGTCACACGGGCCCGCCCCCAGCCTCAGGGTTCCCGAGTTCCTGAGTCGTGTGCGACGGAAACGGTAGTGACGCGTATTGCCCGGAGGATGGCGGACACCGGCTTGCGCCGCGTGGTTCCCAGCGACCTATATCCCCTCGTGCTCGGCTTTTTGCGGGATAACCAGCTTTCGGAGGTGGCCAATAAGTTCGCCAAGGCAACAGGCGCTGTGAGTCCCGGGCGTGGGGCATGGGCTGGGGTGGGATGACCACAGGGCTCTGGGCCCTGACATGCTTAGGTTTGCGGGTAGGGAGATCTGTGGGGTGCGCCAGCCCAGTGTCTGCGGGAACTTTGTGCCGAGCTCTCGGCGGTGACCGGAGAACTCCGGCAGTCTCGGCACCTCCTCTTACACGTGGTCTGACTAGGTAGCGCTGAGTTTTGTTGCTTTTTCCTGGTGAGCGGTTCAGCGGCTGCAGCGTGGGACCCTCGTGGCCCAGGTCACGTGGCCGGCAGAGTGCGGCGAGGAGGGATCTCGGTGTCCCACGGGAGCATTGGAGGCTCCAGGTTCCTTATTTGAGCTTTATGTTGGCTGATGTAAAGCGTGACTTGACCTTAACTCTCGAATTTACCCGGAACTCGAAGATAAATGAAATGCTTTAGAAATGAAGGCTGGGGTTTTCGTTAGTAAAGAAGAAAATGAACGAGAGTAGAGGCAGAGTTCTGCTTTTAATTGTACTGAAACGAAATTGAGCATCATAAGCCCTATCAAGCAGGCGTAGCGGTGGGCTTGGATCTTTGACATCTGGAATCAAACAAATCTAGGTTTGAGACCAGGCTCTGCCACTTTTAAGATGTATGACCCGAGCATCTTGCTTAACCTCTAGGAGTCTGTTCCTATTTCTATGGGGATGTCATCCTCTGCTTCATAGGATTTTTGTGAGTTTCAGTAACATGATACACGCAAAGTGGCAATCCCAGTGCCTGGTGCCCAGGAGGCATCAATGAGTGAAAGCTATTACCATACTTAAGGAAATTTAGGATGTTCCAAACACATGTAAAAGAAGACCAGGAATGTGAAAGATTTGGAAACTACATCTCAAGAAAAGCAGACATGATTGCATGGGAAGACACCTTGAAAGAGCCTAGAGTAGTAGAGGGGTAGTCTTTGGCGGTCTCAGCCTTTCAGTAAGAAGATAGGCTTGTTCTTTGTGGCAGAATCAGGCTGCAAAAGGAGAGAATTAGATCAGCCTCGGAAAGGACTTCCTTAAGCTGGGACAGCCTGCCATGTGATCTGATAGAACTGCCTTTGTGTTGAAATTGTTTTGAATTAATTGACTGTTAGGGAGGCTGCAAAGAATGTTTCCACAATGGGCTAGATGGAATTGGGCCTTTCAGAATCAGGATTCTCTTTTTCTTTTTTGTGAGGAAGACCAGCCCTGAGCTGACATCCATGCCAATCCTTCTCTTTTTGCCGAGGAAGACTGGCCCTGAGCTAACATCCGTGCCCATCTTCCTCTACTTTATGTGGGATGCTGCCACAGCATGGCCTGACAAGTGGTGCATCGGTGCGCGCCTGGGATCCGAACCCTGGCCACCAGCAGCGGAGCGCATGCACTTAACCACTACGCCACGGGGCCGGGCCCCCGGATTCTTTTTCTTTTTCTTTTTTTTTTTTTGTGAGGAAGATCAGCTCTGAGCTAACATCCATGCTAATCCTTTTTTTTTTTTTGCTGAGGAAGACCGGCTCTGAGCTAACATCTATTGCCAATCCTCCTCCTTTTTTTTTCCCCCAAAGCCCCAGTAG